AGCTTTTCATATTAAGACCAAAATCAAAAGCCGTAAATAAAAAAACATAAGCCATAAATCACAGTTTTCATTTTGATTTTGGTCTTAACATGAAAAGCTTCATGACAAATATACGTGAAAACCTTTATGACAAATATACACTCAAAAAAGTTAGTGGTACATACTTTATAATAATCAAATTAGAGCCTACATTCAAATAGTGTCAAGAAATATGATTTCGATATTGGAAAGTTTTGTGATAGCTTTAAATTATATTTTTATCTTTAGTTTTAAAATTTAAAGCTTAAAAAATAATGTTGATCTAATAAATCTAAAAAAGCTTGAAAATCTTGAAAAAAAATGGTAAAAAAAAACATTACAATATGCATTATTTTCAAAACTTGAAATCCACTTTTTTTCATGTCCATGTATCTTATCTTGATGTCGAGATGATCAATTTGACGGTATTGGGCATCAAAACAACCTCCTCCTATGAAAGTTTTAGGCTCTAATTAGATTATTTAGAGCCGAGGCTCTATATAAACTTTTTCCAAAATTAAAAGCCCTCAATCAAATTTCTAACACCTACCTTGATTATTCATGCCTGTCGAAGACGAAAAAATCTCAACCTTCTCTACAATTTCGTGCAACCCTTTCTCCCCGACAGAGGTCGTGCAACCGTTTGACTAAGGCAGAGGACAAAAAAACAGATGTCTCGAGCTCAGTGAGATAATCGGAGAAGTTATAACCAACCCTAGTGAGGAAGACGCGCCAAGTATATTTTGAGATCTTTAAGATCCAAAAAGTTCAACTTTTTAGATGTTGAGATTTCGAAAATGGCGCAATTTTGGAAATTTTTTTCGACCATCCAGAAGACGGATATGTATATAATAGACGAAAATATGAATGTAATTAATTGTTGTTTTTGATAGATTTGTAATAATGGTAAATATAACCAATTTATGCGTAATTTTCTCTTATTGATATATAAAAATATTTTTTAAAAATCGAAAATGACAAATTTTTTTAGATAAAATTTTAGACCATTATTTTTTTTACATTTTTTTTTTTTTTGAGGAACCAGCACTCTACGTCTTAAAAAGATGGATGTGTGATGTCTACGAAAGGCACAAATTCTTTTGGCAAAACAGGTTCATTTTTTATCCGCTTCATAATAATATTTTTAAAATAAAAAGTTAATTTTAAAATTTCAAATTCTTACACAGCTAGATCAAGCCATCCAATGGTCTCTCTTCAATCTGAGAACAGTATTTTTCGGCCACACAGAGCTATTATTTTTTTCCTTTTTTAGATGTTTACATCCCATATATGCAGACAAATTTAGAATGAAGTTCAAATTCTCCATTTAAATAGCACAGATCATGGAGGGTTTGCAATTTCCAGGTAGAGTGGGGGCTCATATTACTCGGTTTCGAGTCAGAAATACACATAGAGAGTTGGGGCTGTTTATCTTGCTCTAATCATTTTCTATCTCGCAGTTGTTCTTGAATATCTTTGTAGCCGAGGTAATTATTTTCTGGTTTTGAAGGCTATTTATTGATTCATGGTCATGATAATTTGGGGGAATGATTTATCAACGGCCAACTTTGATTTTCTTTTTCATGGATGATTAGTACTGCTTCATTATTTTTCTCTTAACTATTTATTGTTTGTTTTTTTTGTTCGTATAAGGATGTTGTTTTGCTCGTTAATTCTCATGGATTCAAGGTCTCATTGCTCCTCATTCCTAGAGTTAAAGAGAAAAAGTAATGAGAACTCTAGGTTTTCTGAATCCGAATAAGCTGCAGAGATCAGCATTTCTGAACCAGGAGAATCTCGAATTTTACTGCTTCATACTCCTGATAGCTGTTTACTACCCTCTATGAAGAAAAGAGGTACAATCCAAACCCCCCTAAGCCTAACCAAAATTTGGACGAAACTAGAAACTCATGTGCAAAACGACTATCATCATTGAAACACTATGCCATTTCCTTTCGCACCCAGCCCCCACCCTAGCCACCCTCGCCCAAGCCCACACGCATGTGCTCACCCTCGGCCTCTCACACCACCCTGCCTTTGTGGCCAAGCTGGTGACCCTCTATGCACGGCTCAACCTCCCTTCCTGTGCTGCACGTGCCTTTGATGCCGTCCCCTCACACCAGGCCGATACCTTCCTATGGAATGCTCTCATCCAATCCCAAGCATCAAACAACCTTCCTTACTTGTCCTTGTGCACCTACATGCGCATGAGACGCTCGTGCGTCGAACCTGATGGCTTCACTTATCCCCTCATTTTGTCGGCTTGTGCCAAGGCCCACGTACCATGGCTTGGCTTGTGCGCACATGCAACAGCCCTGAGGCTTGGCTTGGTGGGCCTTGACCCAGCCATTGGCTCGGGTCTTATGTATATGTATGCAAAGTTTGGGTTTCTTGGTCTGGCACGCCAAGTGTTCGACGAAATGTCTGAGAGAGATGAGGTTTCTTGGACCACTTTGATTGTTGGGTATGTTCAGAATAAACACTTTGAGCTTGGGTTGGGCTGCTTAAAAGCCATGGTTATAGAAGGTGGGGTTGAAAAGAGGCCTGGTTATAGGGCCATTGAAGTGGGTTTTCAGGCTTCTGCGAGCTTGGGGGAGGCTATGGTGGGGAGTTGTATACATGGGTTCTCTATAAAATTAGGGATTGGATGTGCTTCCTCTGTTCTGGGTTTGTATTGTAAATGTGGGTGGTTGAGAGAAGGTTATGTTGCTTTTATGGAATTGGAAGAGAGGGATTTGATCTCGTGGACTGAGATTATAGCTTTGTATGCAAGGATTGGTTTTGGGTTCAAGTGCCTGGAGCTTTTTAATGGATTGTTGAGTTCTGCGCTGAGTCCGGATGGGGTTGTTATCGGGTGTGCACTAATGGGATCTGTGAAAACAGGGGTTTTGAATCAGGGGAAGTGTGTTCATGGACTGGTTTTGAGGAGGGGCTTCTTGTTTTCTGAGTTTGAATTCAACAATCAGGTTAATACTTCTTTGCTTTCTATGTACTGTAAATTTGGTCATTTAGATCTCTCGAGAAAAGTGTTTGATGCCCTGCCTCAAAGAGTTGCAGAGTCTTGGAGTGCCATTATAGTTGGGCTTTTTGAGCATGGGCAGTGTCTCAAATGTTTAGAATTCTTTAGGAATATGAAATTAGGTGGTTTTTGCACCGATTCAAATTGCTTGGTCGCTGTCATCTCCTCATGTTCACAGTTAGGAGCTCTATGTTTTGGCAAGAGTGTTCATTGTTACATTATCAAAACCTTAACTGAATGTGAGGCTTCAGTCTCAGTGGATAATTCTCTTATAGCTATGTATTCAGAATGTGGGGATTTGGGCACAGCACATGTGATTTTTGACAAAACTCAAAGAGATATCATCTCTTGGAACACCATGATCGCTGCCCATGTGCATAGTGGAAAAGCAAGTGAAGCTCTCTCTCTCTTCAAGCAAATGCGAGAAGAGAAAATAGAACTTGATTCAGTTACACTCGTAAGTGTATTGCCCGCTTGTTCTCAACTTGCCACTTTAGAAGAAGGTATTTGGATACACAATTACATCAATAATTCAGGTATAGAAATCAACATTCCTTTGGGTACTGCACTAGTTGACATGTATGCAAAATGTGGAGAACTCGAATCCTCGAAAGAGGTTTTTTATAACATGCCTCAAAGAGATGTAATCTCTTGGAATGCTATGATTTCTGGTTATGCTATGCATGGCAAAGCCATGGATGCATTTGAAGTCTTTGTCCAAATGCTAAAATCAGGCACAAAACCTAATGATGTTACATTTCTTGGTGTTCTCGAAGCTTGTAGCCATGGAGGACTTGTTAAGTTTGGTAAGAAGCTATTTGTAACCATGAAAGCCTACTCTGTTGTGCCAACACTCAAGCATTATGCATGCATGGTGGACCTTTTAGGGAGAGCAGGCAATTTGGATGAGGCCAATGAATTGATAAATGCAATGCCTATGGCTCCAGACCATGGGATTTGGGGTGCTTTGCTTGGAGCTTGTAAAATTCATGGAGAGATTGAACTAGGGGAACAAGTTGCTGAACATTTATTTCAATTGGACCCAAACAATGATGGGTATTATATTCTTTTGTCGAATATCTACGCTTCAGCTAAGAGGTGGAGGGATGCACAGAGGGTGAGGGACCTGATGGTGGAGAGAGGAGTGAGAAAGAAGCCCGGTTGGAGCTCAGTGGAAGTTGAGGGTGGATTTAATGTGTTTTTGGTGGGTGATAGTTCTCATCCTGCATATGAAGAGATGTGTTTTATATTGAAAGGACTGTTAAGCCCAATGGAAGAGCTAGGTTATGTTCCTAGCACAGTCTATGAGCCATAGAACTAGGAGCCTTTGTAATTGTAATTTGTTGTCATTCTTTTGGGTGGGTAAATTGGGATATTAATTACTATTGAAACATCATGTTTTTCATTCATCTTTCATTCGTAAGTGGGAACTTGAAGGACATTTTGGCCATAAGATCAAAAAGGGGAAAATCTTCAAGAGGCCATTGAAATTCAAAATTTTGGATTTGATTTGTTATAAAATGTTAATAGAGGTTAATAGAGGAGATTTGGGTGATTTAAAGCTCAAGGTTTATTCAAAATATCGAGGATCAGAGATCTGGTTACGAAGGTTAGTGATTTTTGGTATTTCCATTTGAGATCTTTTGAGATGTCTTGTGTAAAATGTGTGTGTGAGAGAGAGAGAGAGAGAGAGAGAGAGAGAGAGAGAGAGAGAGAGAGAGAGAGAGAGT